GAACTATCCTACAATTTTTACACAGGTGATTTTGAGAAATTAATTTCAGAATAAGTTTGCTCAGTAGTTATCATGCACATAATGATATTTTGATGAGGTTAGATGACGTGACTGATCTGTCCAAGTTCACAAAGTAGTTGTTAACTAGCAGAGCTAGGGCTCAAAAAACTACTGGAATTCAAAACTAGTGCTCTTAACTATTGTACTGTGCTTTGCTATACAGATACATATTCTTATCAGTAGCAGCATCAGCATTCAAAAATATATTTGGCATATATTTTTACATTTTTATGCACTGTTTCTACACAGATAATTAATTGCATAATGATGTGGCCTATATCTTGTTTTTTGCTTTAAATTACTAGGTTACAGATGTTTGCAGTAAACCTCATGTTTTTCTTTCAATTACCAAGTGACATTTATAACATTACTTTCAAAAAGTAGAGTAATACTTGGTAAAGAGTTGAAATAAAACAATTTAACTCTAAAATTAAGAAATTTAACTTCAAATAACAAAGCAGTAGGTGGCTGCTAAAGAATTAATGTAGGTCCAAAAAAAAAAAAAAGGATGGTAGAATCTATTCTTTACTCTCTTATAAATTTCATTAGGTAATCAAAATCCAGAAAAGCCAAAGTCAAGTGATAGAAAACTCCATGGTCACTGCTTCACCATAACGCATGAACATGAAAAAGGACACTTAAGACATGTGAAACAAAGCACTGGAGGCCAACAAGGATGGCCCAGAACCTCCACAGAAGGATACACCCAGTAATCTACAGTGTCTTCAGGTCTCTCAGTATATTGTGTTCAGTTTTGGTTACAGAGAAAAAATTCTGATCTATTACTCTATTGCATTAGAGACCATTGTTCTGAAGTTAAGGATAATCATATCCATAGTAATCATATCCATAGTTGGAAAAATACCGCTAACAAATAAGTTGGAAAAATACCGCTAACAAATAATGCATGTATACAAACAAGAACTGGGTTGTAGACCAGAGGTGAGGGGTTTAAGAGGATTTACCAGAAAGAGTAGGGAGCAGAAGAGGCAAGCTACTGAAATACACTGCTGAGGGGAGCAGGAGAGGTCTGCTGCATCATATGGGCCACCTCCCTGGCCAGGGATCAAACTCATGCTGCATGGCTGATCATAGCTCAATAGCACTAAGACTATAATCCCTGCACCACCAGGGAGGTCCCCTAGAAATCATAGTTAAAAACATTCCTCTCAAGTGAAAAGAAGACTTCACAGTTTTCTTAACCACAGGTTAAATTTTCATTCATTTTTGTTAACCACTTTTAACACAGAATAATTTGATTATTCATTCTTTAAATATGCCATCTTTTTTAATTTTTTTAAGATTTATTTATTCGTACAGAATGGGGGTACAGGCCAGAGTGGGGAGCAGAACAGGCAGATCGACAAGTACACTGCTGAGGGGAGCAGTGGGCCGGTCAGAAGAGGTCTGCTGCGCCATGTGGTCACCTCTGGGGTGAGGCGGGGATCGAACTCATGCGGAAGTGGCTTAAGCTTCTTTGTGCTGTACTTTAACCCGCTGCGCCACCAGGGAGGGCCTATGCCATTTATTTTTAAAATATCTATGACATCCCAGAAACTTCCACTTTCATCTTTTAAAGTAGCCATTCTAGACTATTCACTCACATATGCCATCAAAGTTATATGTATTCTAAAGAGCTCAAGGACTTAAAAGATGGCAAAATAACCTCAGAGATGATTTTAATTCATTTGGCCAATAAACGCATTAATAAACCCCACCTATTTACACACTGAGAATGTATTAGTCATTTTTTTATTCTGCTTGGACACTGCAAGAGCTATAAATAAAAGTGAACTATGAGATTCTAAATTTGCTTTAAAAGATATCTGGCATGTGCATAACCAAAAGCTCTAAGAACCAATTTAGTAGAATTAGACAGATTATATTACTATCCAAAGGGCTTTCCAAATGCAATATAAATGCATGAAGAGTTTTTATCTTTTGAAACCCATGAGTTTAAAAATAGGCTTTTTAGGAACACTAAATATGTTCATTTTAAGGAAACAAAAATCTCACAGGTTAAGAGTGGGAGATGAATGCTAACAGTATATAATTTTTTGTGTGATAAAATTTACATTTAAATAATAAATATATTAGTAATCAGGACAAAAATTCACGTTTCTAATAAAATTGAGTATAAAAATGTTAGATTTAGTGCTACGTTTGCTGTTTTCAATTTAATCTTCTTACCTCCTAAAATGAAAAGCATGAGAAAGCAATAAAGAAAAAAGTAAGTTTGCTTCCCTGTAAAACTAGACACTCTACTCCTATTGTCCTAGTTTTTCCATTCATAAAAAGAGGTATCAATTTCTCGATTCACAGAACACTATACTGTCTATTATGTAAGGCTGACATCTTGGGGTAGAAAGACACTAGTTACTCTATGACAATGACTGAACACAAAGTATTCAGCAAGTACATATTAACATACTCATCATGGCTATATGATCTAGTAGTAGAATTTAAAATAGTCTGCAATGACACAAGGAAATATTTGCCTATTTGAGACTCACATGAAAATGAATTTAATCACATGTGAATGTCATATAGGTACCAATGAAAAGTTAAACTTGCAGTTTTATTTAATTAAATGGTTAATTTCATTCCTTCAGCTGAGGATATCAATTCAGTGAAATCAGATATAAGAAATGATCCTGGCCCCTCCCTGGTGGCACAGTGCGTTAGGACGCAGCACTGCAAGCCAGCTGCAGCTGCTTTAGTGTGAGCTGATGCCCTGCCCCGGAGGTGACCCAACATGGCGCAGCAGATCTCTCTTGACCCTCCCACTGCTCCCCTCAGCAGTGTATTTTGTCCATCTGCCTGTTCTGCTCCCCAATGTCTCTGGTGAAGCCTCTCACCTGCATCTCTAGTTTGTACACCAGTTCTGTATGAATAAATGAACAAATCATTAAAAAAGAAAAACCACACACATACACACATAAAAGGTAGTTCATAAAAAAAAAGAAAAAAAAAGAAATGGTCCTAACAAAAAGTATGTCTTTCCTTTTATTCCCCAGCTTCTGTAAAATTTCTGCCTTCCTGATTTGACTTGTACAGCCCAATTAAGAGCAGAAAAAAGTTGGAGAATAACCCTGCACGTACTGGTACTACCTCACAACTGCAGACTTCCATGGAACACTCTTCTCCGGCAACCCAATATATCCTTACCCCAACGACAATTCCTCACTTTCCTTTTCTGGTATCATCTTACCGTGCTGGCCTCTCATTCTTAGAGCGGTGAGGTTCATCACTCTCTTTTGATTTTGAGTGTGCTGACTTAGCTGTTTTTGGCTATGGACAGCAAACACAAATAAAACATACATACACAGAAAACAGCAAACAAAGGGGAAAGATTAAGTTTAAAAAATATCTAAATTAGGCCAAACTCTTTTCATTTCATATTTCTTACATTCAACATCTAAACATCTAAATCTTGCCACTGAAACATCTAAATCTTGCCACTCAAGAGATCTACAGAAAATATGCTCACAAAGGTATACTGGAGGCAGTCAGTGTAGCCAGATGAATAGGCAAAATAAAACAGGAACATACTCCTCTTACCGGTGGTCATCTGCTGTTAATGTAAGTGCTGCATAGCAGCTGAGAACTGGTAACTCCCACAGTCTATGGAACCTAGGTTTGGGCTCCTTAAACTTCTTTCTAAACATCGACTTAGGGATGTTGATTTTCAGGCCAGGAAAATAACTGAACTGTTCCAAAAGAGTGTATTGGTATCAGTAAGAGCACCTAGAAATAAGGGAAGTCCTGAAACTTGCTAGAAGTGTGACCTTCCCTGCTTTCTCTTTCCTGATTGGTAATCCTTAATAACAAGTTCTTATAGTTAGTAAAAAAAGAGCCGGAGGGGATCGGCCCTACCTTCCAATCTGAGTCGTGCTTTCTTTTGTCCAGAGATGACTTTTCCCGCTCCTTGGCTTTCTTATAAGCTTTCTTTTCTTCGGCCATTAGAAGTCTAGCAATTTCCTAAACAAAATCCAGTCAATATTGTTAACTGCAGAGTTGTAGGCTTAAAATTATTGATATATTCCCAAAGAATCTGGCTAAGCAAATTCATTAACTAGCATGAATTCACCTCATCCTGGGCAACTTGAGCTGCTCTCATGTCCACTTGAGTAGCCTATGGTTTAAAAAATACAGAAGAACACTTTAATGGCATCCACGTAGTTGATTTAAAAAAACTCACAAAAATAAACTGGCATTTGAAGCTAGTTGTGATAACCTTTGTGAGGTGAATAATCAGTTGGTATACTTTCATCAATTACAGCAGGTTCTATTTATATTAAATTCTACAGTGGGTATTTAGAAAATTATCTACAAGCAGTAATGGAGAGATAAGAGATAAGAGTTCTGCTGCAGTTTTTTACTCAGTAAGTCAAACTAGACACTCTACTCATATTGTCCTAATTTTTCCATTAGTCAAAAGGGGTATCAGTTTCTGAATTCACAGGACACTATAATGCCTATTATATAATCTGAATGACTCAATTCACAAAAAAATAATTCACCTGAACTTTTACAATAAGATTTGCTCACCAAAATTTCTTCTTCTTGCAGTTTTCTAGCAATTTCAGCATCATACCATTCCTGATCTCTGTGGGTGACTCGTGATGGAGTAGAGACAACTTCTTTCATCGCTCTTGGTTTCATTCCTAGAAAAAAACTCAATATATAAGGCAACCATGTTTGCTTTCTGGTAGACGCAAAATAACAGAGGTGTTCTCTTTGGTATCTAAAACTGGCAATACTTCTTCACTCCAAATTTCACTGCAACTGAAATAGTTTCTTTCACAAATGCTGCTACAGATAATCCACACATGTAAACACATTAAGGATCCAAACCTGTCTGTTAAAAATTCTCTCCTCACATAAGTTCTTCAACAGCAGAAAATCAAACTGTGAGGCTTTTGCAAAAAAAAAAAAAAAAAAAAAAAGACCAACTCACTAAAATAAAATTTTAATAATTTAAAAAACAATTTTAAAGACAGTCACAGAATTAGAGTTATAAAGAGGATACGCTGTTGAAAAATGAAGGAGAACAGATGTTTCCTTATATTTGCTTCAGCCTTGCATACCTGACTTCAGAGGGAAGAGAGACAGCTGGGAGTTGTGTGAGAGGATCTGCAATCCTGCCAAAGCTCTGTCTGATGATCAACAAACACACTTGTTTTACACTTTTACCCTTAACTTAGATCAGTTTAAAATCATAAATTTTAGGGGAGATATAACATAAAGGAAATATCAGAAAACACAAAGACCTTAGAATTCTATTCCACTGAAGATAAAATTATATATTCCTTTTATAACTTTTAATGAAGTCGCGAAAGCTAATAGTCATTTCAAATTTGTACGTACCTCTTTGTGCTCTTTATAAGTTACAATTATTCGACAAGTGAACACATCATTTTCAGAAATGGAATTTTTAATGCAGTGAACAAGTTAGATACTGAAGGGAGAAAAAAAAAATGTACTCCTAACTTCTTAATTCCTTCTATCAGTGGTACCTAACTATGAGCTTGGGTGAAATATATCCCAAGTGATTCTATTTTTTCAAAGTCTTAGCAGTTGATTCTTATTTGCAATGAGAATTGAAAATTAGAACTAACTTAGTATATTATGTTCATCAAAATAACCATGCACTGAAACATTTTTTATGAAAATACTTCATCACACTGATTCACTCAATTTAAACAAATAAGGAAAAGAAGAACATTCAATTATAGCCTCAGCAAAGGAAAGTTATCTTGTGAAGACTTTCTTTGAAGATCTTTAAAACAAGCTTTGTGGTAAATCCCAAAGCAACATACTCATCTTTGTCACAAGTAACACATTAAATAACATCTTTCTTAGCTTCACAGCTATTATTACCCAACTATCCAAAATACAGAATTCACATCATCTGTAAGGTTACCAAATCCTATGCAGGGCTGGTTTTAACCCAAGGTCTGAGTGGTTTGGGACAGCAAGGAAACAGTGGCATTATTTTTCAAGAACGAACCATATTTAAATAATAGAATCCTCAACTTGATTACTCTGGACCTAACTGGAAAGATTTCAGGAGGTGTACTGGACAACACCAGAGGAAAAAAACAGGCTGCTGCACCATATTCCTGTCTATAGAAAAGTGACACTTCAATGAGCAGCCCAAAGTCTAGTGGCAGAGAACAGGAGAGGTCAACCACTTATGCCTTGATCCTTCAATTAGGCGATCCTTCAAGACTACCAAAGAGCCTGGTAGAGTAGGATATGTTCAGAATTTCAAGACAATAAACTTTCTACACTACATGCCTTCAACTCCACACTACAGAACTGTGAAAATATTTTGCTTTAAATTGTATCAAAGAAACTTGGAAGGCATTCAAGTACCAGATATATGAAGTCTTACTTGGTTGGACAGAGTGACAAGACTGTGACCTCTTGGCAGTTTAAAAGATACTGATGATGGCCCTCCCTGGTGGCGCAGTGGGTTAAAGCACAGCACTGAGAAAGCCACTTCCTAAGTTCGATTCCCGCCTGCCCATGTGGTGACCACAGGGCGTGGCAGACCTCTCCTGACCCGCCCGCTGCTCCCCTCAGCAGTGTACTTCGTCGATCTGCCTGTTCTGCTCTCCACTGTCTCTGGCAAAGCCTCTCGTCGCCCCTGAGCCTCTGGCCTGTACCCCAGTTTTGTATGCACAAATAAATAAATCTTAAAAAAAAAAAAAAGATACTGATGAGTTCATTAACACATCAAAATTTAAGGTAATAGCTAAGTCCTCTGTATAGGGAAAATAGCTGATCTGAATTCAATATATCATTGGAATTTTCAGGAGTCTCATGAGCAGAAAATTTCCAGAGCCTGGAATAGAGGATTTCTGAACTGACAGTACTGCCCACTCACAGTAGTGTCCCCAGACACGAAGTAAGAGTGCAAGAAGGAAGTTCATTACAGAAAACAGAGCACTTTAAACTTTTAAAAACAAAGTTAACAGAAGGAAATAAATGGAATGGCTGCTTTCATCTCGGTATCCTAAACATGATATAGAAATTAGCTTTCAAAACTCACATAAAGGTGTGCTTCATGTATTTCAATAGTTCCACATTTATTTAATCTAATTCTTGTTATCTTTCTCTGGTCACATTCTCCAGTTCAAGGACAAAGAAATTCCATAAATATACACAAACCTTCAAATACATTCTATTAAACTGTTACAAGGTCTGGTATTCAAGATAAACTTATTTAAAGTTTGGAATAAGGTAAGATGATGCTAGATTCTTTGATATTATGTGTATTTTGTAAAAAGCCAGCCTGACAAGTGGGAATGTCACAGTAGTAAGTTGTAGATGTTTTATGGCCCTTGAGAGGTTGGAATTTAATCTGTAGAAAATTAGTAAGCT